ATTCAGCAACTTGGCTTGTTTACAGGTCTCTTCCTGGAGACGTGTTTCCCCCTGCCTGCCACCGGATAGACGGACAGAGGACAGACGGATGGACACCCGGAGGCCATCACAGAGGGAAGAGCCCGGAGAGAGGAAGGGGGGGGGCCCTCTGCCCCAGCGCAGGCAGGTCAGGTGGCCCTCACCTGGGAGTGGCCCTGCTGCTCCTCCCAGCTGCCCCAGCGCCTCAGAAAGAAGCAGCTGGGCCTGAAATCAGATCTGCCGGGCCCTGCGTGGTTTCACTTCCCTTCTCCTGAGAGTAGGGTGCCCAGCTGAGCAGGGGGGGAGAAAGGAGGCTGGGGTCCCCAGAGGGAGCAGACAGATCTGGACCCAGTTTGGCCCTGCCAGAGCACGCAGGGTGGAGGTGAAGAGCGTGGACCCCAGAGCCAGACTCCCCAGACTCCCCACGGCCTGGCCGCTGGGGGCATGGTACATGGGCCTGTTTCCTCACTAGCTTCTAGCTTTCCAGGTGATGGGTTAACACTAGGTACTTCCTAGCGCTACTGTGAGGATTGAATATGCTCACATAGGCCAAGCACAAGACGTGTGCGCTCACACTTGTGTGAGGAAGACGCTGTAACATGTTTGTTCTTTCTCTCAGTGGATGCCCTGTGTCTACCTGGAGAGGCAGGAGGAAATTTCCAGCACCCCCAGGGACAGATACTTGGCCCAGATACTCTGGCCCAGTTCAAGAGGACACATTTATGAACCTAGGACACCAACCTCCAGTGTCCAGCTGACGATACCCAAACCAAAAGGCTCCAGAGCTGACCCCGGGCAGGGGGCAGAGGGGGGGTGTCCCAGGATGAAATGTTGCAGGGGTAGGGGTCCTCCAAGTTTCTGAGGCCGAGGGATAGACTGCAGTCCCCACCAGCGGGAGGTCCAGCAACTTGAGACTCGGGTTTCTATTCTCATCTGACTTCCTCCCTTCCTGACTTATAGTGACACAGGATGGAAGAGCCTGGCTTCTCTCAGGACTTAAGTGCTTTCTGATTTCAGCTTGATATAAAGGGGCAGGTGTGAGGCGAAGGTGAGATAAAAGAACTCCTGCCCTTTCTCTAGAGGATGAGGGCTGGGTAACTCAGGAATCTGGGGCACTCTGGATGTCCACAAATAAGGCCCCAAACCTCCACATGCTCTGCCCCCCCCATAAAATATTGCCTGGTTCTTTTTAGACCTATTGCGACTCTCAGTAGAGGTGTAGAAGCTGTAGTGAAGCCCAGAGAAGGCTCCTTTCCTGTTCTCCCAGCCAAGGGGCACTAGTCTCCTTTCGATGCTTCGGGGTCAAGGGCTAGAGAGAGTGGACCCCCCGGGGGTCCAGAGGAGCACGGAACAGAAGAGCCCAGCTTCACTGTCACACTGGGAAAGACCTGAAGCTGGGGTCTGCAGCCCACATTCGGTCACTGCAAGGAGGGCATAGACGCAGGTGTAAAGAGCACCTGGGGGCTCTCCCAGGAGGCCCCCCCGCTAGGCCAGGGTAGCCTGAGTGGACCTGGCTGAGCCGGACAGGCTGTTTCTTGCCCTGGCGCTGCTGCCTCACAGCTGCCCCTTGCTCCTGGGGTGAAGGTGAAGGCAGGCGGGGAAAGGCCAGCAGGGCCGAGCGGCGTCTTCCAGGCTGGGTCAGGAGTGTAAGCCCACCTTCGTGAAGGAGCCCCAAGCTGCCCCCGCCCTCCCCAGAAGAGAGACCCTTCCTCGGCTTCCGATGCCCCTGCACCTGGAGAAGGAGGGGTCTGGATGCCAGCGCTCGCCACCCTGGCATGGAGCCCCGGGCTGCAAGCTGGCAGTGCCCGGGGGAGACGCTGATGTACATTTCTGGAAGGAGGCCCAAGGCTTCACAAGGGGCGTATTTTAAGCCGGAGCTTCGAGGACACGCTGAGTGGGAATGTGGGAATCTAACAGCTTCGACTTCCTTCGCCACGTACTGCGAGCAGACAAGGGCCCCATCCAGACACACACACACACACACACACACACACAGTCCCTCCCGGCATGACCATCTGCTTCCCAGTCCGGAGAGGCCTGGCACAGGTCTGTCCTCCCCCAGAGCACCCCGGAAGTCTTCGCAATAGCAGGCCTTCGGGACACTGCCAGCTGGCTCCAAGGTTTGGTCCTTTTTCCCAAGATTGAGGAAAAGCCTCCAGGACATAGGTCAGAAGACTTAAGCCTCGGTCATTCCACTCCCAGCTTCCAGGGCAAGATTGCGCAAGTCCCTCCGCCCCCAGGCCTTATCTCTGGCATCAACCCAGATCCTGTTCTGGCCTGGACTCCTCGCTCCCCACCTAGGGCCAAACTCCTAGGAGCCTCTGGACCGTCCAGCCAAGGGAAGCTGGAGACGCTGCCACCGGCAGCAGCCCTCGGCTCTGCACTCCCACCCACCCAAGCCAGAGAAGGGGAGAAAGGCTGGGTGGGAGAGAGAGAAGGCAGGCAAGCGAGGCTGGCCAGTATCAAACAGCCTGCCTGCCACACCTGGGCACAGCCTGTCCCGGCCACAGAAATCAATCAACCGCTCCAAAGGTGGAGGGGGTTGGAATCCTTGAACCAGAGCCAATCTGAGGCCCTTCTGGGAAAGTGCCTGACTTGTCAAGAAGGATCGAAGATTCCTCTCCCAGGTCAACATCTGCCCGGGGGGGCCTTCCCACCCCACTTTGTAGATAAGACTCTTGTTCACTTGGGACTCTGTGGGCTCCAGTGCTGTGAGGCGGTCGACAGGCGGTCGGTCTCCAAGAGGCAGCGGGACAGAAGCAGATTTGGGTATGCCCATGTGATTGGGGCGAGCATCAGTGGGTGGGCATGTGTAAGAGGGAAACGAAGGGGGAAAAAAAAAAAAACAGGGGTCAAGGGAGGAAAAAGCAGAAACCCCAGATAGCGGGAGGAATGTTCCAAGTGGAGGCCTGAGCTGGGGAGCTTAACGTGAACATTGATTGGCTCCTCAATGAGCAGGAGTCTGTGAGCTCAGGGAGACACACGAGAGGGCCTGGGCTTCACCCAAACAACCACCTCCTGGGAGAAGACTCACGGTGCCACACCAGCCCACTCCCAGTCCCTGTGCAGGTCGCCAGGACCCCTGAGAAGACCAGAAGCCACTGGGGCACCTCCCCAGGTTCACCAAAGCCCCCGCTGTGGGAAGGAGCCGCTGTCTTCGGGAGTGGAGGGGCAAAGTCCACATTTGGAGGAGATAAACCACACTAATCAGAGAGTCACATGGGCAGCTCACACGGGCAGCTGATGAAACCTGGAGCCCACATGGCACCCCCACACTGGCAGCAGGGTCCCGGCTACCCCACAGGGATGAAGCCTCCGGGAGACTCCAGGGGATGCCCCAATATTGCTCCGGGAGTGGGGGGAGCCTTGGAGCCACCTAGAGGCCTCGACGGGCCCAGCCTTGGTCCAGCCAACTCCCCATTTCTGGGGGGGGAAAATCCACAGCTCGGCTTCCCCTTCCTTTGTGCCCTGTTCTTTGTTCTCTTAAAATTCAGTCCATCCTGCCGGTGGTCCCCCTCCTCCACCCCAGCCTCGGGAAGGGGGCGGAGGCGGCGGGGAGTTATTAGAAACCCAGACTGTGCGAAGAAGTTGCATTGTAGGAGGCCCTCCTGCAACTGGGCCCCTCATTGTTTATGCTGGCTGCAAGGGGGTGGGGGGGGGGAGCTCTCCCTGGTCCAGATGGCTGCTGGGGGTAAGGATGAGGGCCAGCCTCCCTCCGGCACCACGAACCCCCTGGAGAGCTGCAAGCAGGCTTCAGAGGCTCGGGGACCCTACCCCCCCCCCCATTCAGCGGCTCTGGTACACACGGGCGAAGAATAGGCGCGCTGGATGCAGCCGAGGGCGTGGGAGCCGGTCAGATCGCAAGGGGCGACAAGGGAAGAAAAAGCCCTGGATTTCCCCTCCATTCTCCCAGGGGCAGGAAGAAAACTTCCAGAGCTCGGCCTGCAGTATCTCTCCGGGAAACACCAGGAATCTGGTTTGAGTTAGCAGGGCACCCCTCCCCCAGCCGCGCGGACACACACACACACACACACACACACGCGCGCGCGCGCGCACACCCGCGGCTCGGGCTCGGTCCTCCCCCGGGAAGCCCTCCGGGCCGCGGCCCTCCAGCCCCGACTCCCCGGCGCCGGCGCGCACCCCGCAGGGCACGGGTGGGGGACGCCCCGGGCTCGCGGGGAGGGGGGCAGGGTGGACCCCCCCCCGGCCGGGGGCGGAGCCAGAGAGGCGGCCGCCGCTCCACCGCCCCAAGCGGGTGATTAAATCCTTAACCCGGGGGTGGGGGGGGGCCGGGAGCGCTTGGCCGCGGGCGCACCCTGCGCGCCCACCCCGCGCGTGGCCCCCTCCGCGGCCGCCCGCCCGGCTGCGCCCCACCCCGCGGCCTCCAGGGCTCCAGGGCTCCGGGGGGGCGGGCTGGGGGCGGGTAGGGAGGCGCGGGGGTTCATTTGTTTCCTCGGCGCGTCCCTTCCAGGCGGCGCCTTCCCTGCTTCGTGTCTCCCCGGCCCGGGTGACACTGGGTGGCGTGTGCCGCGGCGTGTGTACGACAGCGAGTGTGTGCACGCCCCCGCCACTACGGGCGAAGCATTCGGCTTATTCATGGAGAACTCTGTGCGCACACACGCCCCCCTCGCGGACACGGCGGGCGGCGCGCCCCGAGCGCTGCGCCCTGGCCGCCCCGGCGCGCACCCCAATCTGAAGCCCGGGGACCCCCACCCACCCACCCCCGTCCCACCCATCCGGACGCCGGATCCCAGCCTGGGGAGAGGAAATCGAGGCGGCGCGCGGCTCCCCGGCTCTCGGCCACCCTCCTCCCCAAAGCCCGCGCGGCTCGGACGCGGGGTGCGCGGCTCCGGGTCCCCAGCACCCGCGCGCGCCCCCGCAGGCCCTTGCCCCGGGGGCGTCTCCGCGCCCTCCCCCCGCCCCCGAGGCCTCGAGCCCCCCCATCCCCCAGGCCTCGCGGGGCGCGGGCGGCGGTCGCCTACCTGGGTCCCCGGAGATGCTGGCGCCCGGCCGGCGCGGCTGCGCTGTCCCCTCCGTGGGCTGCGGGCGGACGCGGGGCTGGAGGCCCATGTCAGCGCCGGGGTCGGCTTCCCTCTGCTCGGGCTCGCAGGGCGGCGAGCCTCCGGGACACTCCCCTCCCAGGCCCCTCCCGCGCCCTCCCTCCCGCGCCCTCCGCGCTGATGTCACGCCGCCGCCGCAGCCAATGGCATCTGCGAGCCCCGCCCGGCCGCTCGGCCTCCTCGGTTCAAACGTGCGAGGGTGAGCCCGTCGGAGCCCCCGGTGGGGCGGCCCGGGGCGCGGAGGTCGGGGGGGCGGGCCGGAGGGGTCCCGGGGAGCCCCAGCGGCGACCAGGAGCCAGAGCTCCCCGCACCCTCGCCCCTGCCTCCCGGCCCCGGGGAGCGAGGGGGGCTCTGCGCCCCCAGGGCGGGGGATTCCGTCCCGGGCTCTTCCTGGAAGCCCCGGGGGGCCCCCAGCGGGTGCCCGAGGGGCTCTGGGCGGGGTGACCCGGCTCTGACCGGCCTGAGCCCAACGCCAGCTCTGAGTGTCCGGCGGAGACCAAATTCTCAGTTCTGCTTGGGGGGACCCTCTAGGAGACGATGGGGTCCCGGAGAAGCAGGTCCTGCGCTCGCCTCTTCCAGGAATCGCTTTGCTTTTGCAGATGGTCGTTATGCACGCGCGGAGTGGGAGTTCCCTTGCCGTGAGCCGCTGCCCGGGGCGGTAAAGCAAGTCGGGCTGGGCGGGGGGGGGGGGTGCCCCGGGGGAGGGGGTGCATGCGACCCTCATCTCGGCGTTATGAAGTCTGAGCCCCCGCCCCCCACCCTGGGGTGTAGAGATGACTTAAAAATAATTTTTAAGGAATCTTTAAAACAGTAAAAATAAATTAATAATAAAGCAAGTCCGCAAGCCTGGGTAGCTCAGTGGTTGGGAGTCTGTCTGCCTTCGGCCCAGGGCGTGATCCTGGAGACGCTGGATGGAGTCCCGCATCGGGCTCCCTGCATGGAGCCTGCTTCTCCCTCTGCCTGTGTCTCTGCCTCTCTCTCTGTGTGTCTCTCATGAATAAATACAACCTTTAAGAGAATAAAAATTAAAAAAAAAATAGGTGTAGGAGATGGTGCAGGCCCCAGATTCCCTCCGGCCCCCCAACCCATGAGCTGTTCCATGGGCCCCGTTAGGCTTGTGCTTTACTGCACACTGCTGGCGTTCCAGGTCCATCTCCTCCTGAAACCACAGCTGGATCTTATCTGTCCAGAGAAAACTTAACCTGAATGGCTGGGGCACTGCCCCTGACCCCCTTCCCTCCATTTTTAACACATTATTTTGTCTTTTAGGGCCATCACTTCAGCAATTTGTTGTCCTTTTTGACTGATGTCTGGGGTTTGGCCTTCCCAGTTAGGTTACACCAATTAAGCATACCTCCAGGACAAAGTCCTCACCCCTTTGTAATTCTGCAGCTCCTTATCCGAATTCAAAGCTCCGCTTGGGAGGTCTGGGAGGCTCCTTCGCACACCTTTGCCATTCATTGTGGTTTGCCTTTGGGGCAAAGAAGTGCAAAAACCCAACCCTGCCTTCAGGATCCCTGGAGTGGTTGTATAAGGCTGTCCCCCATGAGGAGCTCAGTAGGGGCTGCTAGACACTGGTCCCCAAGGCATTGCTAGGACCCTGGTGGGGAGGCTTGGTTGCAAGACAGTGTTAATCTTCCCTGATGTTTGGAATGCGGGACCTGTGAATTCCTAGGGGCCTTTGCCTCCCAAGGATCTACTGAGGCTAAGTTTTGCTCCAACCTTTCTGTCCAGAGCTATCTATTGATAATCAGAGGAAGTTAACAAAATGAGAAACCTGAAGCTTTGAATAGCTACCTTGAAATTTCTGGCAAGCTCTAAGCCCCTGACTTTGGAGAGGGATTTGAGGTCTTAGCTGCACCTTCGCCGTAACTTGACCGATAAGCTTTTAGGCCTGGGCGTGTGTCTCTGCCTGTGGGAGCTGCTGGGGCCTGCCCTGAGGGCTGGGGCTTGATCCTTAAAACTGCATGGGCCTGCCTCACCCCGTGCCTCCCAGCGTGCCCTCCCATCCCAAACACACACTCCCTGCTTTGCTTTGTTAACTTTGGGTTCTGGGCAGCTTAGTTCATATTATTTTGCCCCAGCTTTAAGAGGGTCCATTACATTAGGTTGGTTAATCCTACTTCCTTGTAGAGACGCCACTCCAGCTGGTGTAGTCAGGTTTGCCATCAAAGTATGACTCGGGGCAGGTCATTTTACTGGAGGGACCTGACCTATGGCTTCCCATCTCTATCGTGAGTCCCCTCACCATCCGCCTCCTCCCCCCACTGAGGTTAGCCAAGGTGGTTCAGGATGGATACCTCAGGGCATCACTAGGGTCTGATGTCAGCAAAGCTTGGATCCTTGGAGGGCTATTCATGCCCACCCTGCTGGGCAGGGGCTCTTTTGTGCCTTGGTTCCCTGCTCTAGAGAACCACCTGGAGCCCTTTCACCAGGCCCAGGTAACCGCCACTGTGGAACCTGGGAACATCCCCAGGATACCAGCCTAGGGGCAGAGGGCCTGCGGTCAGGGCAAGGGCAAGGCCCTCCACTGCTGTGGGGAAAAGTCTGTCTCTGGGGTGAAGGCTCTTTGGCCCCACAGGGCATGAACCCCCTTCTGAGGGATTTAACCCACATCAGGGCTCTGGGGCAGCCAGTGTAACCAGAGAGTAAAACAGCCATTCATCCCCACAGACTCCTGGGGATGGGATGGGGTCTGATGGGTGTTGGAATCTCCATTGTGGGTTGGCATACAGTCTGTTGGCCAGATGAATGAATGAGCAGAGTCCAAAGCCCTGGATCCCTCCTTCTCCCACTTGCAACCCCAGCCTCTGAGCTGTCTGAGGACCCCCTCAGTGACCTCGAGGGCTATCCACAGGGCCAGGAATCCTCCCAGGATGGGCAGGTCTGGAGGCGCTGTGTCTCAGAGGCCCCCTGGCCCTCCTTGGCAAGGGAAACATGCTGCTCAACAACCTGGGGACTCTCTGGAGGCAGGAGGTGGCAGTAGGCTTGAGCTGGACCTGAAGAAGGTGATGAGGTGGGTCAAAGGGTGGAGATAGAGCAGAGAGGCCATGGAGTTACTGGAAATGGGTCCAGATGTGGGGTCAGAACATCTGGGTGGTATAACCTTGGGGGAGTCACTTAGTCTCTTTGGGTCATATCCGTAAGGAGGGGCCAGTAATGATACAAACCTCAGAAGGTGATCAGAAGGATGGAAAGAGTTAAAGGGTGTGACCTTGCTTTTTGAATTGTCAAGTCCAATGTAAGGGACCCTGGTTTCTATTATTATTGTTAAGTCAGACTTAACAGGGTACCGTGGTGCCCTTCTCTATCTTTCTGCCAGGGAAAAAGACATATAGCCCCCCTACACCTCACTTAGAGGTCCATCTGTCACCGTGCATTGTCCTGTTATTAACACGCTGTCCCTGGCCACCTAGCTGGGACATTTCCAGGGAGGTGGGAGATGATATTAAATATTTTGTTGATCTGGGAGGGAGAAAAGGATGGGCAAAAAAGATACAGTCAGGATTCTGGGTTCCCAGAAAATTAGCATAGACTTCAGTTAAAGACAGTGAGTCTCAGAAGCAGAGACCCTAGAAGGAATGTTTCATGTGGTCTCCAGGTTTCTGAAGCCCAGCACTTTAATCCCTAGTGACTCTTGGGAAAAATCAAGAAAGCCCAGCTCTGGCTATGGGCAGAGGGCTCCTCTTGGCGCTCCAAAGGCCTGCAGGTCCCGACTGGGAACACAGATCTGGGCTCAGATCCCAGCTGTCACTGCATAATCTGAAAGAAGCCACTTGAGCTCCTGGGGGTCAGTTTGCTCATCTGTAAGGGGGGGCACATGGGACCCCACGTCATGGTGTTGGCATGAGGGTGGTGGATAATGCAGGCCAGAGTTCTGAGTCAGGCTGGGGCCACACAAGGGCTCAGGATGTGGACGCTGGCCGGTCTCAGAATTAATGGCTCAAGTTAGACCTTTCAGAACAAGAGTGTCCTCCACCTTGTGCATGGAGTAGACCTGTTTTCATTAGTGTTTCTCAGAATCCAGCTAACTGGGAAAAAAAAAAATGAATAGCATTATCTGCAAGAGGCAGTCCTTGGACTTATGATAAAGGAGTCCGTCAGGCTCAGGGTGGCAGTGGAGGGGCTCGCTTTCTGTCACTGTCTCTGGAGAGGGGTGGGCAGAGACCCAGCTCTGCTGGAGGGCAGCCCCTGATAACCAGAAACCCTCCTGGGCCCCTGAAAAGATGGAAAGAAAAGCAACTAGAGGGAAGGAAAGAGCTTTTTTTTTTTTTTTTTTTTTGGTCTGTGTCCAGAAAATTCTTGTCTCCTCCCCAAGAGCAAATTGGTCTAAAAGGGGACACTTAGAAAAGGCAAGGTCACTGTCACCTGTTGAGTACTTTACTTTGAGTTACCAATTCTTCATCTCAGTCTTATGGAGTAGTTGTTATTACTCCCAATCTTCAAATTAAGTAAACTGCCCAAGATTCCACTGCTGGTAAATCCAGATCCTAGACTGAAAAAAAGCCCAAGCAGTCAAGCCCTGGAGCCCACGGTTCCAGCCACAAAACCACAAGACAGCAGGAAAGGATTCCAGCTGAAGCATGAGTGATCTTGTTGCTGTGCTCAGCCACCGTGGGCCAGGGAAAGTCGCTAGAGGAGACTGGGCACCCTTCCTTACCAAGCAGACACACCCTGTCTGCCCAGGAAGGTTCTACAGTGTTGAGGAGAACTGATGCTCCCTGCCTGCAGGCAGCTCCTAGGACACCCCAGCAATGTCCTCCTCCGCCTGTCACCCTTTCTCCACCAGCCCACATCCACACCAAAGACCCCAATTAAATTCCTTCCTGGAGCTCAGTGCATGGCTCAGGGGTGAAGAGGAGGATGCACAGAGCTGAAGGCATCACTGAGCATCCTCTCTGACCCAATGTGATGTGACACATCGATCCACATGTTCCCAGTGCTTAAAGGCACAGCCCCCTCAAATCAAGAGGTTCTTATAACTGGACCTGTTGTTGGGGGCACTCCTAACTCCTTCCCTGTCTTTGTACTGAGCCCCCCCAGATCCCAGATCCTTGGGTTGACCTGA